TCACTTGTGAGCTAAATTGGACACAGGCGGGGAATCACCCCAAGGTTTTTGGCAGCTGGTCATGTTATATAAATTATCTTTTTCATATATCATCATTGGGTCCAAAACCGTAACTGTAGAATTACAGAAATTAAGAGCCAGATAGATACTATTTTGCTCTTTGTTTTACACCTGAGGAGAATGAAGTACAGAGAGGTTCTATGACTTGCCTGGGACCCCAGTTAATTGAATGCTGAGCCACAACAGTAACCCCCGGTGGGCCAGCCCCCGGGCCCACTGATGTGCTGCCGTGTGCCTCGAGCCTCCCGTGTCCTGGCCCCTATTCCTAACTGCCCAAAACAGCCTCCTGGTGGCATAATGTTTCAGTGAATCTCAGCTCCAATGAGTGCCATTTAAAGGTATATTTGCATTTAGAGGTATTTTAATTTAAAGTGAAATAAAGTTAAAAATTCAGTTTCCCAGTTGGACTGGGCACATTTCAAGTCTTTAGTAGCCACGTGTAGCTAGTGGCTACCATATTAGATCGTACAGATCATACCACATTTCCATCATTGCAGAGTTGGACAGAACTAGGGACAGGATATTCCACAGAACAAAGAAAGTAAAACGGATAAAAAGTATGGGAATAATAATATCATTAAGTACCAGGGTGATTAGCTATCTTTATACAGACTTTTTCCAAGACAAGGCATCTTTGTGTGTTGGTTTTCAGTTTGTATATCTTCTGATGGTGGCATTTTATGTCTTTTTTTTCCCCCCAACATTAATATAAATATTTACAGCCACTTGGCATTTCTCATACCCCTTTTGTAAGTTTGTCGTTCTTCCTTTTGTGTAAATAAAGGAGCTATGATGCAGAAAGTTGCCATCCAAGGAACAAAAGAAAGAATAAAAATATCAATTCTTTTGTTTCCATTCTCCAAAGAAAACTTGCAATTCTCTGAGCCTTGTAACAGCTTGTTGTGCTGGAATTAGTGATGATGATGATGATGATGATGATAATGCATTTATTTCAGTCAATTATTATAATTTTAACATTTTACTGCTTAGAGAAGCCTCCGAGGATTTAGCATATCTTCTGTTGATCGACTTCTCTTTACTCCAAAATAGAGCAGGGAAGTAGGCCGGTGCCTGTGCTGAAATTCAGCAAAAAGTAAGCACTCTCATTTTCCCCAAACGTCATTGTATTTCCCTCTTGGCTCTGAGACTGATACCACCAATGCCTACTGGCTTGGTGCTCTCTGAGCTGTGGTCTAGTTCCCTGTGGCATCTGTCCGGTAGGAGCCTTACAGCTGACTCTTTGCCAAGACCAGGAGCATACTGGGCACTCAGGATCTTGGAGTTTGTAGGATTGGTGCCAGCAGCGAGGTACGGGCCTGTGTCTAGGGCTTGCACGTGGCCACTGAGTTCACAGGAAACATCACCTTAGAGAAACCCAGTTCATGGAATATTAAGCAAGGACAGTTGGCCTTTACCTCACCTCTTCTTAGGGGTGTGACAAAGGGGAAGTCACTTGACCTCCATGACTCTCAATTACTTTATTTCCAAAATGGGGATAATGATCTCAACTTCCTGGTGCTGTCGTGATATTGGATGTCAAACACTTGGCAAAGGTTTCTAGAAAAAAGTAGGCACTCAGTAAATATTATTTCAATTTGGGTTAATTCCTGCACCATAGTGGATGCCGAGGATATCTGGGGAGTGCAGAGAAGCAAGCTGGTCTAATTTTCTAAGCCTGATATCAGATTCTAGTAAATAGATCTTACTGAGAGTCTTGCTGAGATTTGGGGTATCTGTTCCCATAATCACTCCTCTGAAGAGCACATTGGCTCTCTTTGGCCTCTGGCAAGTACCCCCAAAGGTTTCACTGTGGGACACACAATTTCTGGCTTACTTAGAAATGTCAGTGCTGACAGCCCCATGAGGACAAAAGAAGTCAGTAAGTCTCTGCTAGAAATGAACCTCAGCCAAGCCCAAAGTTGGGAGTCAAGCAGGAGGAGTTTGTGTGCGTTAGAACCATATTAACCAGGCTGCTGCGGTACCATCCGGGAATGGGTCTCAGCAGTTCCGCAACAGGGTTGGTCCTGGGTGGGGTGGGACCACCTGTCCTGCTAGGAAGCTGTCCTTGGGGAAGATGTACTGTTGTAGTCCTTGTTGAATTGTATAACAGCTGGACATCCTCAGATTTACTTAAGGAAGGGATTGTTATGCAAATTGTATGCAAATACTTGGGATGGTTGCAAAATGCAAGTAGTGAGGAAGGGATGTAGCTGTGGATGAGTCTTACTCCTCTCCGTGACTGGGAATAGAGAGGAAGGGAATCTGTGGAGACGTGGACACCTATGTTATTAGTGAGAAAATGTGGGCTGTACAGTAGTCTTAACTGACTCTTGAGTTCAGCATTTCCCAGAGAGAGAAAGAGGACAGGTGTGTGTGTTTCTTGCAGTGGTACCTTCTATTTGGCAGTGGGGTTCCAGGAATGCAGTATGTCTTGCTCGTGGCCTTGTCTTCTAGATTGACCATCAGCTGTACACTCCCAGTTCATGACAGACCTGATGCAGTATTTGGCAACATGACGGATTAGAAATATTTTGTGCTTTGGAGCCCATTTGGGCCTAGGTTTGATTCTGCTTCTCTGCTCTATCAATTAGTAATTTTAGGAAAAAGGAACTTAATTCTTATATATTTGCATCTGAAAAATAATTCTTTCTCTATGCCTAGTATAAATATTAGAAATAATGTATGTAAAGTACCTAGCACAGTATCTGGCTTATAAATGCTCATTAAAAGATACATATTATTATTTAGGATATGAATTGTGTTTGAGTCTATACTATAAAGAATTTCTATTGAAAAGGAGATGTGTGATAGTTACTCATGTCAAGTGCATCACAACTGCAAAGAAGAGAAATCGGTAACACTTACTGGACACTTACTCTGGGCCATTTCCCATACTAAGCACATGACTATAGGAGATAAAGTCTCTATTCCCATTTTACAGATGTAGACTGTGAGGTCCAGAGTAGCACAGTTAGGAAGTGGTGGTGCCAGGATTCAGAGCCCATGGCCTGAGCTCCGATACCCCACTGCCTCAGGGTGATAAAAAGTCATCAGGCGTTTCTGAAGTATGCCTGATGGGAGGAGGGGTTATAAATAGGAGCTCACCAACATAAAGGCCAGAGATATAGGGATGTCCTCATCTCAGTCTCTCTTCCTTTATATGCCTCGGTGAGTACATATTTTTGAGAAAGTAAAACTGCCCCTCGGTTGGAGAGACATTAAGGAAGATGTGCTCTAGAATTCTACGTTTTGGTAGTAGGATGGGCATACTGTCACCTAACTCCTTCACTGTACTAGCTGCTCTGTAGAGACAACATGCAGCAGCCTCATTTTCAAACTTCCGTTCTCTGTTAGCTGAGACCTGTGGTAATGCCTTCCTCTTCGTTCTAGCTGATTGTCAACAGCACTAACCACAGGTCCTTCCTGTCCCAGAAATAAGTCTTGCCACACTCGGAGCTCTCAATGAGCTGTGAACCCTACATTCTGCTCTGTGTAGGGCTCTGTCACCTCCACCCACCAAAGTTAGCACCATGGGGTTCAAGTGTTTATTGAGTTCTCAACGGGTGATTTGAGAAGAAGTAAAGGTGCCCAAGAACAAGGTAAATGATTGATCTGTAATATAAACAAGCATTACATTACACTTAAATTGTTGCCAGAAGATTTCGTGCTCAGTATTTTATTTAGCAGAACATGTTTTATAACAATAAGGTTGATTAGAGAAAGCTCTAAAAGTGCTTCAAGTTAGACAGTTGGATTGTTTATCTAAAGGATAAAAAATAAATAAAGTAGTAAAATAGGGGGATGGCAAGATGTAGAAATTAAAGCCAGGTCCTAGTGAGGATATTTGCCATCATGTCTAATACCTCTTATTATTACCCCAGGACTACCCTGAAATGGCATCTGCCTCTTGTAGTGAAGTTTTAGTTTATGTGGGCCCTTTTTTTTTTACCTTTCTGCCTCTTGGGCTGGGGGCTGGAAGATGGTCATGGACCTGGCTCTGTAGATATTTTGTCTGCCAGGTTTGCACTTGTTTAGGTGCATTTTATTTTCATGGGCTGAGAAGCTAAACCAAGAGCACAGTACTTCAATGAATGCTGCCCAGGGCATTGAGCCCTGTCACTTGGCAGAGTAGGTGGGTTTCGGGGGCATTCAGAGGGGGGAAGGCAAAGAGGATGTGTGTGGTTTTGCTTTATTATTTACTGAAGGTCAAATAAGAGGGGAATCCAAGTAAAAAATGAACACCCTATCGTCATGTTTCATGATGAGGACTAGAATTGCAGGCTCTAATAAGCAAGCCTCCTCTCTTCCAAATGGGGTCTTTGGAAATCTTAAGGAAGATTGATATGTAAAGGCTTGTGTTCTTGCTCTTTGTATCATCCCCAAATATTTACTGAAGCTAGAGGAAGAAAAGGCAGACTTTCCTCTTTTCTCTTCCAAACGTGTGATTGTTTAGAACTCAAGTGCAACATCTGGAAGTCAGACATACAGAGAGCAATTTATGGAGTGTGAAAGATTTGAAATATTCAGTGTCCTTTAGCGGGAACTCAACTTTCTGGGGCTGCCTTTTTTTTTTCCCCCAGGCACAAAGCAGGCAATTCTGAGATCGCCTTTGCCTCTCTGAATTAAACCCTTTGTGCCTGGGTCCCATAAACAATGTGCTTTTTAAACGGGAGCCCCCTCCCCGCCCTGGCCCTTTTCTCCAGCGTAGGCAGCCAATCGGCTGCACCCAGCCGCATTGCTGGAGCACTTTCCATTCTGAACAGCAACAACGTACTAATTTGATGCACACATGGATGCCTCGCGCACTCTGCAAATTCATCATCAGCATCTTGCATTAGTCATCTGACGGACTGCCAAGTGTTTCATTTTCTTTTCATGTGACTTTATCATTATCACCTCTCCTCTCTTCCCCCAAAAAAATCTCCAAAAAAAAAAAAAAAAAAGGAGGGGAGGGGGAATCCAGCAGAAATCCAGCCCTGCCTTTCTTTCCACACGAGAGCCAGTGTGAGGCTGATAAGGCTGCGGATGGTTGATGGCAGCCTTGCAGAACGAGACCTGCACTTAACTTGCAGCTGCCTCGGAGCCGGGTTTCAAGATGTCCACGCCCCGGGTGACAGCCGGCGGGGCGCTGCCCTGTGCTCGGGCGGGGTGCTGAACAGCAGCAGCCTGCAGTGCGAGCCCGCCGCTGCCGAGGAGCAACCTAATGGTGCCTGTGCTTTGTTTTAGTTCATCAAATTTCTACGACTCATTAGGCACTTTGCCCCGTGCTCCTCTTCCTCCTCCTTCCGCCTCCCCACCCCCACCCCCTATTTTTTTCTTCCTGTCCCTCGCCGTGCAGCCCTAACTCTGGCTCCCGGTTCCCTTTTTGACAGTAACGGCACAGCCAACAAGATGAACGGCGCTTTGGATCACTCAGACCAACCAGACCCAGATGCCATTAAGATGTTTGTCGGGCAGATCCCCCGGTCTTGGTCGGAAAAGGAGCTGAAAGAACTTTTTGAGCCTTACGGAGCCGTCTACCAGATCAACGTCCTCCGGGACCGGAGTCAGAACCCTCCCCAGAGTAAAGGTACAGTCCGCGGGGTGTGCGCGGTGGGGGGCGCCTGGGGGTTGTGGGCCTCCCCGGGCGTCCTGGGCAGCGCGGGAGGGAGAACTGCTGGTGGGAGCCGCCTGCTGCCCCTGTGCCCTGTGGCCGCCGGCTCCTCCCCGCGCCCCCGCCCGCCTCCCAGGCAGGTGGACTGAGCTGGCCTGGGACGCAGGGAAGGAGGAGCGGAGGGAGGGGGCGCGGCCGCGCCTCTGTCCAGGCGCGTGATTGCTCTCCCGAGGTCACTTTCTAGGCAGCGCAGGCTCCTCTCCGGTGGAGTGGCAGTCTCTCTAAGGAATACTGTTTCTCAGCCTTGCCTTTCAGGAGTAACTCTTTCTGCCCCTACCTTCCCATTATTGCTCTTGTAATTACAATTGCATTTCACTTTTCCATAGCCTGTGGGGATCCTGAAATGCCTTATGAACAGTTACTGGGATCCCACTGGTCTGGGGAATAAAGGGTACACTTTTAGGAAGGGCATCAATTCTTGGGGTCTAGATAGGCATCTTTAGGTGAAGTGTGCCTTTGGGGGTGGGAAGTAACACCCTAGTGGCCTGAGACAGTTAGCACACCTTCAGAATGCTTGTGGTTTACGCCCTTAGCAGTGGTAAGATTCACGTGTACAATCTGGTGGTTTTCACTGCCTCCATTTTAAGATGAGGGTGATGTTTGGGGGTGGGTGTGCAGTTATGAAAATAGAAGCCAGCAGCCTCTGTACCACAGTGAACCTTCAGGGTATTTAAAGACATCCTTTGCAAGCTCTGTGCAGACTGAATTTAAAATATCTCCTCTGCTGCCCCTTGGTCTCTGTCGATATTTTAACCTTGCTTTAGTCATTTGGTTCTTTCTCCAGTCTTGATCTCTTTCTACCCAGGGCTCCTCTGTCTTCCTGTGTCCACACTTCCTTTTTCTCTATATCTTCATATGTCTGTTCAGCCTGTTATTTTATTTCTGTGTAGCCTCTCATAAGAGCTCCTGCAAGCTCATTGTTGAGCACATGCACATCAGCACACACTTTTCCTTTCAGCCTCCTCCTCACTGTCAAGGTGAAGGGATAGGACTAAGTGATGATAAGAACGCTGGTGTTCTGTGACTCCAAGAAATGGGCCATCTCCTGTTCCTGTAGTTGCAGGGGTCTGGTAGGACTTTTTAGACCTTTTAAGAAATGTAAAAGCCTAACAAGGGTGAACAGACATGCCTTCAGATTATGTTTATAAGGCTCTCATTTTCTATCCCAAAACATAGTCATATAATACCAAGAAAACTTTCAAAAGAATGTACATAAAATGTTGTCACCACAAACTTGCCCTGTCCCTAACTTGAAAAATAGGAAATTAGCTATCTGAAACAGAAGGATTAAAAACATCACGAATTAGGGCAACGTTGAAAGAACCTTTCTGGGTCATATTCCTAAACTGTTTATCTACATGTTTCCAAAATGGAGACGACTAGAATTTGTTTTTTAATACTTGCACAGTATCCTCCTGAGGAAAGACAGTATAATGCCCTGGACTGGACTTAGCAAGTGAGGGCCCTCCTGCCACATGGAATAACATCCACAGAAAATGAGGCCCGAGGCAGTAAACTAGTGCTGCAGAGCAACAACCACAGTTTCCTCTTGACTAGGCCAATGTGCCTCCAAATTTCAATGTATTGGGCATTTTTTAAAATGACCTCTGATATCATGGTCAGAGTCTGTTTACTTACATTTCATCTTTGGATTCCACATGTCTTACGTTAGCCAAGAAGACCTTTCTCTCAGTCAAGTGAGTACTTGTGCTTGGCCTAGTTCTTCTGCCATTTTCTCTCTTTTCCCTGCTGTTCCTCTGAGTTATCTCTTCATCAGGGTATATTTGAGACTGGACATTGTGTTAACTTCATTCTCTGGGTTTTATAACTAACTTCACTGAAGTAGCTGCGTAAGCCCGCAGCCTGGGAGGGAAAGGGAAGCCCGGTGAGTGCTCTCTGAGCCCAGGCTTCTGTACCGCGTCCCATGTGAGGAGTTTAACATGTGTTATCTCGTTTAGTTCTTACTGAAATCCTGCAAGGAGGCGGTATTAGTCATGTTTTGCAGACGAGGCTCAGAAAAAGTTAAGAAATGTTGGCCCAGTTGGCCCAGCTAGGGAGAGGCACAGTAGAAGTTTGAGTACAGTTCACCTGTCTTCATGGGCTGCTCCGTCTTGCCTCTCCGTGAAATGAGGCCACAAACCAGCCTTGTTCGGCTCCATTGCAGGGCTGGGTCAGAGGCCTTCTCCTTGACCTACATGTTCCTTAAGTGATAAGAAGAAGTTTTGCCCCTTCGGAGCAGGGTTCATTTGTTTCTGTCTTTGTCTTTGGTTTTTATACTCATGAGTTTAGATTGTCCATCACTCCAGTTCATGGTATTATGAGATAGAAGTTACAGATGAAATCATTCAAATCTTACCTGTGGAAATATAGGTCAATTCCCATTACTGTGAACTCCAAGTCTCGTATCAAATATTGCTTGAAGTACGTGGGCTGTCAGCCAAAGCTTGAAAGGGTTTTTGTTATACAGACATCTCTGTTGTACGGGTATTTGTTGTGATGGGATTTGAGCTGTATAATGACATTCCTCTCAGAGGATTAGAGGCCTTAGCCGCTTACATATCGAGAGCAACAACCACCGTTTTTCTTTGCACAGATACCTGTGTGTGTCACATGCCATTTGCCTGTTGGTGTATAAAATAGGACCCCGTGTTTACATCGGTCCTGACTCTGCCAGCAGGGTACAGTTATCACGTTTTCTCATAGCTGATGTCAGAGCCTCAGAAATTAGAATTTTGAAGGCACTCTCTAAATGTAGTTTAAATGATCTAAGTAAGTCTTTGGAGCGGCCTTGTTTTATTGTCTTACTGACGTCCATGATTCCAAGGAAGGAGACCGGGTCAAGGTATTACCTAACCCAGGTGAATCAGATTTTTCTCTCGCTTTGCATCTGATGTTCTGTTTAGTTTTGAGGCATAAAAACTTTGTCCCGGTTTTTGAAATCATTCTTTAAGAGTTAGAGCCTAGGCCATCTGTTTCTTCTCCCTATAAATGTATGTGTTGACCGTGCGGGCTCCGCAACTCAGGGGAACCTGGCTAAGTCAACTCTCCCACCTACTAGGACTTACAGAGAGGATTTTATTCCAGGATTATTGGTCTAGTATATGGATGATGAGAAAGACCACATAGTCGTTAAGAGCATGGCTTTTGAAGTCAGACAAGCCTAACTTCAATTTCTGGCTCTACCACTCCTGGTTGTTGGCCTTGGGCACATTATTTAATCACATCTGAAAATGCAGACAGTCCTCCTGGGGTTGCTGAAACGGAGTTATATGTGTTCACAGAGCTGGAATATGGTAGGAGCAGCTGGTGGTGGTGCTTATTATCACAATTATTATCATCATCACTGTCCTCAAGAACTTGAAATCTGATAGGGACAAGGAGGCCAGTACACAGGTAAGTATAATCTAAAAGAACATGCAATAAGAGAAAATAAGAAAGAGATGGGCATAGTTGAACTCTGGAAGTTCAGGGGAGGAATTAATAATTTGCAGCTTAACAAGAAAGGAAAAGATGGCATCTCTGCCAAACCTCAGGGGGAAAAAAGATTTCAGTAACTAAAAACAATGTTGAACAGTACACATGGATAGACTGGCCTGATTCAAGCAGGAATGGAAGAAAATGTAAGGTAGCTTGGGAACTGAATTCTCCCCGAGTGCAGAGGAGATATGCAAACATGGAATGAAATGAAATGGAAGAGGGGAAGGTCACGATGCTAGAAGTATCAGCTCGGTCCAGTTCTTGGAGGGCCTTAGTTCTCAGGCTAAAATATTTGAATGTTATTTGTTAGGTGAGTGAAGGTCTGTGGAAGGGGAAGGGGCTGGGAGTTGGGTGCGGGGCTGCCTGAAGTACGTGGGGTTAATGGGCGCTGTCTGCCATGGCAACAGGGAGGAAGGCTTTGAGGGATCAGACTTCACCCTGGTGGAAGTAGACTTGATAACTAACTAGATGATGACCAAGAGGTTATGGCTTAACTGGGAACGCAGTCAGCGATGGTGAGCGCGGGGAAGGGGAAGAAGGATACTCAGTTCAGTTCTGATTGTTCTGAGTCGAGGTGCCAAGGAAGAGTCCAGAGGATGCAGGCCAAGGGAAGCCTGGACTTGGTGGTTGAGAGGACTTGAGAGCGTTCCAGAACGGTGGGGCTTGGGGTCGGGAGAGGATTGCTCGGTTTGCACCCAGGCCTGTGAGTGGAGCCGACCCTTCCTGGCAGTCGGGTTGTGAAAGAGAGACAGCTTAGAGATAGCTTGTTCTTTACACAGAAGATAAGAAGGTGGAGCAGAAGGTGATAGTGAAAGTGAAGAGAGGAAGAGGGGCCGGGGAGCGCGAGTGAAAGGGCGGGCAGCAGGATCCTGCATGAGAGGCAGCAGGGCAGTCGGGAAGCGACCCAGCAAATGTCCGTCTACCGGGGGGAAATGGACACTCAGGACAGATGCCTGCAGTCTTCTCGGTAGACAGTATGTTTCTGAGAGGGCTGGGTGGGGTTGAAGACTTAGGAAGAATGGAAAAGGTTTAAAATAACAGCTTTGGGAAATCTGATGGGGGAATAAGAGCAGGAGGGGCCACTTACACTGGGTTGTGTCAGTGTAGAGTGGGCCCTCCTCGTTGTGGGTCTGTGACTGTCCATCAGGGGTGAGCAGAGAAACAGTCATCGGAACCTGGGTTGGAGATGACCAAGACAGACGTGATAGAAGGTCAGGAAGGGTGTTGAATGCATCAGAATGTCCTCTGAGATCTAAGGTAGAGGAGCCGGCGAAGGCAGAAGGTAGCTGGAGAAGGAGGGAGGGTTGAGGAGTTGGCAGGCACGAGCAAGGGACAGTGGGAGAGGTAGCAGGTCTAGGTTGTGTAAGGTGAGACCAAGCGCGGAACCTCGAAGTGGTAGAGAAATCCTGTGCCTTGAATCATCACTCCTGACATTTTAA